AAATGTTATTTAAAGCAAGACTTGACTTACAAGAAAATTGAACTGTCAAGCTCAATAGAGAAGCTTTTTCCAAAGTTGAAAACGCTCCTCCAAAAACAATTTACCTCCTCAAAAGTAAATGTAAGGCCAAAGCGCTTAAATATTTCAACTCCGCTAAAGGAGGAGGAGCCAGAGGATGGTTTTTGCCAGAGAGGCAGCTCAGGTTTCGTGTCTTAGGTCGCTGCTGCTGGTACAGGAAGGTGTAGCAGGGCATCCCTCATATATATTCTCCTCATTTTACTGTATGATTGCGGTAGATGAAGTGTGATTCTAAAGCAGAATTGCACAGGACTGAGAGTTTAGATTTGTAAAATGCTGGGGGGGACGGTTCCTAACTAGTGATAGTATTCAAATAATGAATTATTTAACTTTTGTTTATTAGAAAAAGATTTTTTTAAAAATGAAATGTTTCACGTTCTATTTTTGAAAAGACAAAACTGACTTAAAAGTTGCTGTCTTGACTGCCGTCATGTTTTGGGGGTTGTTTTGTATAAAGCAGCAGATATTTTAGTAGCACTGGTAGGGTTAATGTTTACGGTAATTTGCTGAAGAGCAGGGTGGGGTTTACTTTGGGCATGAGGGGTAAATTGTGTGCAGTTCACCCCAAAGAATCACCAGAGTTTCAGTGTCCCCCTAGGATCGTGTTGGCAACAGGGACTAAATATTGGAACTTCTGTTTAAATCAAGTCTGGCTGTGCTGGGACGGAGGCGCCGGGGTCTGAAAAGCTTTGGGGAGCTGCAGTCCCTGCTGCACTGGGGTCTCGGTTAGTTGCAGGTGCCTCTTGTCTGAAGCCCTTTTTAAAACTAAGGGCATTTTTTGTCCAGTTTGCGATTAGATCATGAATTTCTTTTGTTGGTGCCTCTACTGTAGATCACTCGGAGGGTGGAGAGCTGAACTGCAGGGAGACAAATCCGAGGGCTCTGCTTCTTGTTAAGATGTTTTCTCCCCCGGCACGTTTCCATAGGTGTATGAAGTGCATCAGGCAGAGCAGAGCTCGAGTGTTTCTAGTACTGGGTTTCCACCACACCCTTCTTATCAAAACGCCACAAGTGAACTTCCCTGATCGGGACTTTTATACGCTCGCCCTCAGCAGAAGAATCCCTAAGGATTTGGGGCAGGGGATTTGACAATTTTGGACTAATCGCTTTGCTTAAAATAGGTCTTGGTTAAGAACTAACTGCTGGGATTTCAAGCAAGTCTTTGAGGACTGAGGTAAGGTTTTAGCATAACAATTTTTAGAAGTCTGAGATATAATTATTCCCTCCCTACTTTTTTTCCCCTTGAGCCCTTAAATACTGTTTTATTTCTGTATTTTCTAGGATAACAGAACATATACGCATGAAAGAATTTACTTTGCTTGTGTTTGCCTCCTCTGCAGGCTTGAGATTAGAGCAGAGAACCTTGGTGATGTTACTTTTAATTTAAGTTTTTATGGGAATTGTATTTCATCTTCCTGCAGTATTGAAAAAACATTTAGTTGAGAAACTTGTACAGCAAATATGACAGTGCCATTGGTAGGTTCAGTTACCTTTGCTGAATTTCCTTCTCCCACCCTGATAACTTCTAATGGAATACAAACTTGTGGTCTGTGTTTACTGCAAATGTACGAAAAAGAAGAGATAACTCAGAAGGTGACTTGAAAATTGTTTCTGGCTGTCAGCCCTTTTACATATTTATTTTAAAGCATTTTGATAGTTGTGAATTTAAAGCTGTGTTTTTCCCCTACTGATCATCATGCTATTGAGCACGTGTAGGTGGTGAATTTCTGCTGAATTGATGATACAGAAGTGACTTCTAAAATGTGGAAAAGAAGGAAAGCTGCAGGGGCCAGGCCATTTCCAGCAGGGTGGAGAAGTTGAGCGGAATTTCTGGTGTGTAAAAGTTATGTATTAGAAACATCCTGGCTGGTCTGAGAGGCTCCATCCACACTAAACCAGGAAATGCAAATATTCGCTGTCGCCTTTTGTTTTCCTGAGGTTTCCCACGTGTGACTGCTGCTTCTTTCTCACCGTCTGAGAGGGTGATTGAAGCCCTGGCTCGCGCGGAGCCCTGAGAGCGAGCGTCTAGTGCTATCGCTTAGACCAATTTGCATAGCTGGGATGTAGCTTAAAAAAATAAAAGAATTCCTCAGGTTTTGCATTTACATATTCGGCTTCTCTAGCTCAACACGTGTTTCTATAACGGATGCTTGCAAGCCTGCATGGTAGGACTTAAAATGCTGCGGGATGCTACCGCCGCAGTCAAGGTGGCAGTGCGAGTTGTTTTCTTTCTCTGTCTCTGGACGCACGGGGCGAAGGGGACCTGGGGCGTCTCGGGATGCGTGTGGCACTAAGGCCGTCGTGGGCTCCATTGATGCGTTAGTTGCTTCAAGGAGGAACTCTGGCGTGGGTTATTTTGTTTTGTTTTACTTTTGGCTTGGAGTGGAGCAAGGGAGGAGGAGTGGAAAAGGAAGCCTTTTGTTTACAGCAGAACAATGCTGTGAAGTAGACACGATGATGTTAAAACAGGAGTCTAAACACGGCAAATCTCGGCAGGCTCCATCTGGCTGCGGCCACGAATCACTCGGGCATCGTCGGCCCCGGCTGCCGGAGACTGGACTTGTCCTCCCCCCTTGCCGAATTCAAAATAGCCCTGGAGGCTCCACGTCCCAAAATCTTATTGCTGCATGAGGTGAATGATTTATTGGCTTAACTACTTATGTGCAGTGATGCAATGCATCTTTATTAATGGTTTCTCCACGATAAATGCATATTTTCATTTTGAATTTTAATCTCCATGAGCTATATTACATGCAAGTAATATAGGCCTAGTATTCTAAAACCAGTCAAAATACAACATACAGTTATAAGGAGAATTTAATACAATCTACATACAATTTGATGGAAAGAAAATGTACAGTTACCATGTTAGTATCTGGCATATTTTATAGTGATTTAAATTGTATTTTATTAGTGGGACACATTTTCATTTCTGCATACTGCATATTGCTCTTCGGTGCGTCAATGCAAGTTATTACACTTTTTTTTTTTATTTGTTTAGTCCTCAAGGAATAATTTGGTTCTGTTGAGCCATCGGTTTCCAACTGACAATGCTTACGAGCAGGTGCCTGTGCTCCTGTGAAGGGGTTTCACTTTACATGTGGTGTATTAAGGATTTAGCATCTGGCTTGTGTTGAAGTTGAATTTGCAGAAATGTGTTTATGGGACAATTTAGAATTTTAACAATTATTAAATGAAATTCTTGTAAAAAGTGCATTTGTAATATTAGGTTATCCCAATACATATTAAAAAGACCTTACATAAAAGCTGTCTACCTTGCATTTGGATATCAGCCTAACAATAATGCTTTATATATTCCTTAGAGCCAGCATGGTGGATTTTTAACCTGACATGTTAGTATCTTAATAAGACTTTAAAATTTATTAATACTTCTGAGTGGTTCTAATATATATATTCCACATAGGACAAATCAATTGGTATATGACTCTAAATCAACATGACAGTTTAAATTAGATTTATAATTTTGAAATGCGATTGGAAATTAGTTTCTTGGCAGTAGAAAATGTAACTGTATGTGGTAGGAATATGGACAGATGTGCACTCAAACAGCTGTGCAGGCATCGCCATCCCTTCCGAGTCGTCCTGTCCCCTCCTGTCTGGGGACAGAAGGGGTCACTTAGGCCTTTCCCAGCTTAAACAGTGCTGGTGTTTGAGGCTTCCTGCCCGGTTTTCAGCCTTTGGAAGAGTAGGCAGCACTAGGGACTCCTCGAGCTCGCTCAAGACTTCCAAGGATGGTCTTTGGGGATTGGCTTGAATGGCACTGAGTTTCAGATAATGTAAAGCACTGGAGTAAGAACTTAAAACCTTTTGGGAAGGGCATGGCAGCCTCTATGTCTAGTGCTTGCTGAGGAGAAAAGCTAGCAGGGTGCGTCAAAAAAAGTACTGCGGGAGAGGATATTTTGTTTTCCTTTTAGTGCGGGAAAACTGGCGGATCTGAAGCCTGTTTTTGTAGCGTAGCTGCAAGCAGCTGCCAGAAAGGTAGCCCGCTTCCCCTTGCCCCCTTTGCATGGCATCCAGCGCGCAGCTCCGCGCTCGGAGCCGTCGGAAGGGCAGCCCTTCCCTCCAGGGGGTTGGTTTCCAGCAGGGCCGTTGGGCCTCCTGATCCGCGCTGCGCCCTCGTGCCCTGCTCCGCGCGAGGAGCAGCTGCAGCCGCTCCATGGCGAGGAGCAACACGAAACCTCCCGGCTCCCTTGGTTGCCATCGTGCTGGGCATAAAAGTCAGCTGCTGCATTCCTGGGCATTTCGCGTCTCGGTACCTTCTGTGCTCGGATACCCCGTGCACCTGTAAAACATGCATTTGTTAGGCTTCCTTACGGTTGAGTCGCCCTTCTCCATTGTAATCAACTGCAATCTTCTAAAATGTATGTATTCCATTACCTGGCAATAAATTCTTAGGTTATGGTCATGTCCTGACATTTACAGTTTTGTTCATCTGCAGAAAAAACCTTACATTTCAAAGGAAATTAAAATTAAAAGGAAATGAAAGCAGAAAAAGAAATCCTTGGAGAGAGCAATTGTAAAATAAAATTTAGTGTGGGTAGTTGGGATAAACAATTTGATTTCAAGACGTGAACTGCGAAAGTTTTTACTACCTCAACAGCTGTATTTGCAGCTCCGTGTGGTGTTATTTACAGCTCTGTCTGTTCGAGGAATAGTTAAGAACTCTTGGTTTATATCTTCCCTTGTGGGAATTTGGGCAGGTCAGAGGAGGGAACGTAAGCAGGAAAAATGCAAGTTGCTTTGTAGCCAGCCAACAATGAAAGAAAACAGTAGGAATTTGTTAGAAATGTTTAAAGTATCGCGCTGTCCTGCTGGAACCTACGTGCGGAGCTTGCAGCTCCTGCACATTCTCAGAAAAAAATACATTTTCCAAAGAATCTCTGTATAACGCAGAGAAAAGTATGCAGTGTGAGTGGCTGCGAATCCCCCGAGCGATTCCCGCGTCCCAGGGCGGCCTCGGGAAGCAGGAGGGTGCGAGCGCTCGCTGCTCCCCCGGCCTCCCCCCGGCCGGGCTCATTCCGATCGGCAGTGTAATTGGAATGCGACCGCAGGCTGGAGGAGGAAGGGGAATTTTTGGCAAGAGGAGACAGAGCAGTTGGGAGCTTTATTCAGATTAAAGCATAGACAACCATTCATTATCAGTACAACACGCATTAGCAACAGCCCAGCATTGTGTTTCTACAGCTGGGACCTATTTCAGCGATTGTCTTGCGCTGCGCGTTACATGCAAACAAGTGGGAGCCCATCGCAAAGAGCGACGCTGACGGCCCTCCTTAGGAGAGGGTGACGCTGTGGAGGGAAGGAAGGCTCGGCTCCCAAATGAGCTATTGTGGTAAAAATTGATAGGCTTTCTCTTTACTCTCCCATGTGTTCTGAAATGAGCCCTTTTTCTTTTTTAGGAGAAAACCCTCGGGTGAAGGAAAAAAAAATACAATGTTAAAACCGCTGGTTTGATTTGCAAAGCTGAACTAGTTTTTCTAGGGTGATGACACGTGAAAAGCCTGAAGATTAGTAAACATAATCTTAGTTTTGGACCCAGTCCTTGTCTTCCTCCTCTAAACTTTCGGCCGCCTGTTGACACAGCATGGGCTGTTTTTGGATGTTTTACATGAGATGGGGGGTGGCTTTCCTGCTAAGTCACATACTGCCTTTCACACATGTGGGTTCCTTCCCAGTTTCTATAGTTCGTGAGCTTGATGTTTCATTTGTGATTGCTTTTTGTTTCCTTACCTGCCTTACTGTGTCTTTCCTTGATGATATTTGTCTCTCTCTAGTGTACCTATTTTAAAAATACTTATCTAAAAACATATCTTAAAGAATCTCTTTAATGCAAAAAAAACCCAAAAATTCTATTGTGCAGCTGTAGTCTCTAGGTACTGGTACTTGATGTTTTTCGAAACTGTACAAACACGTACTTAAACCTTGTAATCTTGTCATAAATCGAGAAGACACCGTGTGACAGAGGGATGCGTGAGTACCTAGCATCCAAGTACACTGCTCGGGTCTGCTGCAGTGCTCTAGTAGCAGCATTCCTGTTTTGCAGGTGTGGAGGAATCGGATGAACAAACCTGCTATCAGAATCGCATATGCTACAGGTTGGGAATACCTGTAGGTGTTGAGTACAAGGCTGCTAGATTTAAACATCCATCAGCCTTGGAATCTCAACGGGTGCAAGCGTGCACAGGGCTGGAGCAGCTCCAATGACGGTAAGAAGAGGCCAAGGAGCTCGTAATGTCCTTTTGCTCCTTCACTGTTCCTGGGAACTGACCTAAGGAGCATGTGTTAGAGCGAGATTATAAGGAACAATGCAAAGGTATTTGGTGAACGTATAGAATGCAGAGCTGCTGTGCGTGTTTGTCTTGGCACATGTGTCGAGTTCCTCCAGATTGGACCGTTCCCATTGTGCTTTCTGCAGACTCCCCAGGAAGTCTGTAATAAGTATAAAACATAGATATCCACTGACTCATGGGTGGTTCGTAATAAATACCCTCTACCTATATATATGTACCAGAAGACATTACTGTAACTCGATAATACCACGTTTATTTATTTTTGAACCACGGTCGGTATATACAGCCATGGTCCTGCAGTGTGAGTTTAAGCAGCTTAATTAACAAGCTAACACTTCTGGTTTAAAAATTGTTTCCATCAAAACCATTTTAAAACAAATATTTACAAATAGCAGATAATCCCCTGTGGTGCCCTTAGAAGTTTTATTAATATCATTATCCCTAGGGCACAGCTATGTAAATCTGGTAACAGTGGTGAGTTCTTCAGTGTTTTACCTTGGTCTTGTAAGAAAGCAAAGATCTTGATTTGGTTCTTTCCAATTTTTGAACCTTTACTTCAAATCTGATAAAGGATCAATGTCTCAAAGAGAATTAAATCCCCCAAGTTTTATGAAAATAGTCACTTGGATAAAGAAGAGAGCTGAGGAGTGACCTGAAGCAGGAGAAGAAGCTGCCGCCCGGCTTGAGCGGCTGCGTGGGAGTGCCCGGGTAATGCAGAGCAGTGGGAAAAGCTGCCGTTGCAGCTCTTGGTCATCCATAAAACATAAATCCGTAGGAAACAAGGCTTCCTTGGCTTTTATTCTTGGGGAACTATTAATCAGTTGGTTATCAGAATATTCAGAATAGGTCTAAGTAGTACGGTGTTGAAATTACTAGAAAAGTGAAACGTAAGGTCTGGTTCTTTCCCCATCCGTGGGAAACCTTTTGTCCAAAGAAAATCCCGCGTGAGATTAGAGCTCTGTATGTGGCAGGAGATGGCTCTGTTTCAGAGTGAGCTGATGCTCTTGGTGTCTGGGCTTGTTTGCCCCGAAATACCTGCTGGAGAGGGCGGTTTTAAGCGGCACTTCTCAATGCCTCTCCTGTTTTGTTAATCCGACAAAGCCAGAATTTGTTGACCTCTTATTTTCCTTAAACACGGTTACTAGAAGGAGCAATCTGGAGCCAACAGCGTTAGCTTGTTTGCTAGCGCCTAGTTGTTGGGGAAGCTCTTGTTCCTCTGCACGTTGTACGTGTGCCCGGCTTTACAAACACGAGACTTCGGGTAAGTTGCGGTGGCAGATCTGATTTATGTTTTGAAAGGAACATTTTATAATGAGTTAACCTGGCAATTTCTGTCTGAAAAGACTACTCAAACCTTTTATTTTAGACTTTACACAATTTCAGGGACATACTGTCTGGCTTACTGTGTGTTAGATGAATTTTGACTAAACAGTAGAATTTAGCTTCACTTGAGATTTCCTTTTTTTTGGCCTTCTCTGGAAGCAGTTGTCCTACTCGCAGTTTTTCCCCGGTTTGTGAAAGATGATTTGTGAGCTGTACCTCTCCCAAAGGTGCCTACAATGAGGCACGTTGTTTCTAGATTAATGGTGTTGTTATTGGCACCTCCTGTGTCAACCTGAGCCGCTGAAACGCTGGGGAGAGGTTGTGTGCGTGTGGTTGTGTGTGCGTTTGGCGCGTGCGCTCCGCAGCGGCCGCAGGGGAAGCGTTGATGCCGTGGTTTGAGCTGTTGTCTGTGGGTGTCAGCTTGTGGGGTGCTTTGCTGGATGCTGTTTTCCGCCTTTACACTTTTCATTAGTAATAAATCCCAGGAATTGTACAGAAAAAATACCCAGGGTGATTCCACAGTGAGGAGTGTTCTGCAGCCTTTCCAGCCACCCACCTCTGCTCATCTGCTTTGGTTTCTCCTACTAGCTCCAGGAATTTCTATTTTTGCTCAATACCAAGGATCTTGTTTTGTCATCAGTAAATATTTTAGTGTCTTGCCTGTGGAACAGCCGACCAAGGCAAGCACTGCTGTAACCAGCTCTGCTGTAGTCGGCCTAGAGGAAGTGCCAGACGATGGCACTTCTGGGTCAGCTTTTGGGAATTATTTTACATGACCATATAAATGATAAGGGAGCGCAGATATTTTATGTCAATTAAAAAAATAAGAGCTTTGTTTTAGTGAAGAATCAGTATCTTTATTATGTATTTCTTGTCTTTTTTTTTCTTACAGTACTGTGTGCAAAAAACTTGGTGAAAAAGGACTTTTTTCGTAAGTAGCTATTAAAATTTCTATACTTGCAGATAGGATAAATGTTATGTACGTTCTGCACATCCCTGTTTGTACATGGGCAATGAATGTATTGGGGCTGAGGGTTTTGATGCACCATTTTGTTTCTGGGCTTTTAGTACTTTTATCAGAAAGTCATATCAGAAGGATCTTTAATAACAATTAAAAACCAAGACAGAAACAGAAAATTTAGGTATGTAACTTCTTTTGTGATGGTGAATCCAAGAATTTATAGCCAAAAAGGTCAGTTTGCGGTGATTGTTAATGTGCTCTGAACATCCTGTGTGAAAATACTATTGCACGTATTGATGGGCAGCATATCAGACAAATTAAAGGTTGCTAAGAAATGTTACCCTGCTTTGCTACTGTTGCTGTTGAGAGTAAATCCATTTCCCACCTCCATTGGCAAATGACATACTTTTCAGTATTAGTGCCATGTATTAATTAAAATGTTCTTCATGGAGGAGTTTTTTCCCTTGGCAAACAGATATACATTCTTCTTTTATTAATAACCATGTCGTAATACTTACCTACTCTGAAAATGTGTTCTCATTAATTGTAATAATGGCTTGGAAGCAGTAGTAAAAGGGGGACAAAGGAGGGAGAAGGGAATGTTTCTGACTCTATAGGAGTGCACACCTACATCATCTTCCTCCTGCTCAGCGAGGAAGGGGGAGAATTTAAAAGATCAGACCTAAATTCTGCAAAGGACTTGGCAGAGAGGGTCCTGTAGAGTTAGACTGCCGGTTGTGTCCTTGTAACATTGCAAAGCTCCCTCAGCAGACTCGTTGTGCATCTGCTTGAGTGGAAGAATTAGCAAGAGGGAGAGAGGATAGGAGTGCCCCTTGGGAGGAGCCCTTGTGTGGCTTGGGGCACGTGTGACAGGGCCATCCCTTTTGGGGGCTGTTAGGGCAGCCGTTTGGGTATGGTGGTCCTGCCTCTTTCCCATCCTCAGCCCCTCTATAGCCCGGCATCATCTTTGCACTGCTTTTGTTGAGTCTTTTCAAGGTACTAAACAAGCACTAACTAGGCAGACCTCTAAAAAGTGAGTAATCTACTCTTGGTAGTTTCCTGTAATATAATTAATGAAAATCTTGATAACAATTAACCTTAAAAATAACAAGAATGTCATTTTTTTTTCTGCCTTTTATTGAACTTGTTTTACCTTGAGAATTTAATTTCCCCGATTGAGGGTTGAATAATCTCTTTAGAGACTTTTTCAGGTGTTTTAGAGTTACAGGCCAAGAAAAAAAAATGTAAATTCCAAATGAAAAACTGTTCTATTTTAGTTTTCCTATGGTTGAAAAATATCTTGTTATTCTGTTGTATCCCATTAGTGAATAGGATGGTGATTTACCAATACAAGCCAACTTAAAATATAAAATATATAACTTGGAACATCAGACAATTATTTAAGACTCTAAAGCTTCTTCATCTGTTAGCTAAATGTTTGTTTGTTTCTCTCCTCTTAGGACTTCCTGATCCATTTGCTAAGGTTGTGGTGGACGGATCTGGCCAATGCCATTCTACAGATACTGTGAAGAATACACTTGATCCAAAATGGAATCAGCATTATGACCTGTACGTGGTAACAGTGATAACCAAAGGTTTGAAGTGAACTCCTCTAAAGTACACAGACATTTTCAGATGTTCATAATCATCTTCTGTTCACAGCTTGGAAAATACAACAGGGTTTGATAGTTTGAGTGAAAAATATGTGTCAGGATATCACTTTTCATTTCATTGGAAACGTAAACAATGCACTTGGTTTTCTAGTGGTAATCTGTCTCTTAGCATGTTAGTTTCCCTCAAGGATGAGCACCAATTTTTGTTCTCATTGAGGGAATGCCTAGTTTTATAGCATTGAAAGGATTTTGCCAACAAACTTGATAGTTTTCTTGTAAGGACTTCTTGTAACCTCTGTACGTCTAGGTAAAAGATGCCTTTCCAGGAGGAATAACAGCCTAAATTCTGTGTGGAAAATGTCTGTTGTTTCCTGCGTATTCCCCACTGGGTGCCAATTGTTGCTTAATGTTTGAGGCACTGGTGACAATGTGAGCAAGCAGTTGACTAGAATGGATTGTAAGTGTCCCATGTTCTACTGCTTTGGAGATGATTCCCCTTTGGATGTCAGGAAAAGGAAAGGAACACAGGAAAGCAGGGAGAGCATATGCAAGTCATGAAAATCAGTAAAGACTATAGAAAATAAATCCTTTCTGATCCTACTTTTTGAGGTAGGATGTAGAGAAGTTTTTTTTCTTGTTGTTGTTGTTTTTTGTTGGTTGTTTATATAGAGATATATATATACACATATATATATACACATATATAGAGAGAGAGAGAGAGCACAAGTCACACTTGCACCTGGATACTGTAGTCATCTGAGGCACGAGAGACTGCTGACTGCATCATCTTACACAAAGCAGCTGATGGCAAACCTCACAGATTATAAGACTTTATCTTTTTATTCTCTGAAAATAATTGTATGATAGATTTAAAAAGCTTATTAATATTTAGCCTAAGAGCACACCCCAACATGGGAGCAGTAGTGCCTGACAACACTTCCACTGTTCCAGGAAGTACTTGGCACACCAGGAATGACAGATGAGTTTCAGGGGCACAGTGGCTACCTGGGCTCCTCTGTCACCACAAAGTGCAGGAAGGCAGCCAGAAAAGGTATAGCTATGAAAGCGATGACGAAATTAAATAAGCGGGGGGGGGAACTTTTTTCCTATCATAAAGATACTTTTTTTTTTTTCTTAATAGCTGTAATAGGCTTATGTGAAGTAAAACTTTTTCTATGCTATGTTGTGTTGAAGTGTCTGCAACTTAGAATTTATCTAGCAGGTTAACTCTGTTGCTAACTAACCCTCTTGTATACCACTGTGACATAATGTGTGTGGCACAGTAAGATGACTCCATTGTGTTACATTTGTGGAAAAAAATGTCTGAATTGGCTTCCTAATTCTAAGGAAATTTGTGCTTTGTTAACCTGAGTCAGCATAATAGATATTCTCTTGTATAAGTTGTGTTTTGTTTCAGATTTCTGTGTTGTTAATAAGAACAAAAAAGGTTTTTGTTTTTGCCCTAATGTGGTCCTTAATTCAGAATTTAGCGTGAAAGGAAGCAGCTGAATTTGTTAGTGCTTAGGACCTTCAGTCTAGATGGGTGTGTGATGGGGGAAATCTGGGAGGCTTTCCAGAAAAAAAAAATGCCAAATAGTTGCTGTCTGGATGCCGTTTAATGTCAATAAACTATCGTGCTTGTCCTGGATGTATTCCCCTTCCTTATATTCTCTCGCTTGTGTTCTCCCTATTGTTCGTGCCCAAAGCTTTGAATAATTGGACTTCAGGAGATTTGCAGACCTTTTTGCATTCAAAGCATTTAAACACCATTTAAAGCCATTGGTTCTCAAACTTCCTGAATTCCTTTTTCTCGTCCTTCACTTTTGTTCTTTTCTGTGATAGCTCTTACAGTCTTGCCACGCTCCAGCCTCTTCTCCATCCCTCCCCATCAGCCTCGGGGCCTGGAGGTGTAGCAAGTTGTGTGATTGTTTATCTCTAAAGTATGTGTTTTTACTGTAACCTCCCCCAAAAGCAGGGCTTGGTCCCGTTCCAAATCCCAGACCTATGGGCTCGAAATGTCTGTCGGGCACTAGCGGCGCGAGAGCTGTCGGCAGAGGGAAGCGAGCGGAGAGCGCACGGGGAAGGGGTTTCCCTTAGGTCTCTCTCCTCCTCCTCTCCCAGTCTGGAAAGGCTCAAAAATCTTCCTTGAAACCTCAAAGCATATCGTTACCGTTATGTTAGTGAAAAATCAGAAATGGGCAAATGGAGAAACAAACTAAATAACTTGTCCAAGTCATAAAAAGGCTCAGTGTGACAGCACGGATTAGAAACTGGAAATTCCTGGCTTCCAAGCCTGCATTCGTAGCTCTTGATGTTGCATTTTTCTCTCTTTCTGGAGGGAGTGCATCTGGCTCAGCATCAGGCAGAGATGTGTTTTTTCAGGAATATATGTTTTTTTCCACTTTCTTCACTCTGCTTTTTTCTACCAAGCTGAACTCTTCAGGGAGTTATATAGCGGCACTGAGGTGAAAAATCACTTGATATCAAACCTGCTTGAATGTGGAATATTGGCTCACAAGGAAATGCTACTTTGACAAGGATTTATTCATTTATAGATAAATCCTATCTAATATAACTAAAATAATGATTTTCCCTGTGTTTAAAATTTGATTAAAATTTTTAAGCTTTTTCAGATGGTATTAAATACATGTTACTTACCCACTAGATAAATAGAAAGGTCGATACTGTCCTGCCTTCACTTTTTAAATGTTACTATATATTTTCATGCCTGAAATTATGCGGAAATACAGATGAAGCTTTTCAAAAAGCCAGCTAGAAGTTATTGTCACCCACCCCCGGAAATAAATAAATAAATTATATGTGTATACACACACACACACACTTGGAAAACGCAGCTTGTTTTGCTGTTTTTCTTCAAATATGTGAATTGGCCGGGTCTCCTGGCACTAACAGCAGTGCGGGCTAGTAGTGATATGGAAGTGCTCACCTGTTGGTGTGGGTGCTTTACTGTCCGCCCTCGAGAGCCTCACCCTGAAGTGTTACAGTGATTCTTGGAGAGTGTATTGTATATTCAGCTGTTCTACGTATTATTCAAACTGTTCTGTTATGAAATTGTGTTTAACCCTGTACCTCTGACTTTCTTAAAGCAACAAGGAAAACTGGAAAATTCAAGACAGGTCATGACAAGTCTTTATTTTTAAGTGCACCTAACCTTGTTCTCATAAGAATTTATTTTAAGTACATGAAACATTGTAGACTGCAACTGTGCACGTGAATACCCATGTTCATCTCTTGTTTCTCTATTCAAAGTTGGCATTGTCAAGGTTGTAAGGCCAAAAATCTGACCTGTATTAAGATGATGTAATCAATTTAGTTTTTCAAAAACTTTGTGTTTAGTTTTATGTGAGATTTTTGTAAAATGTGCACTGATTATTCTAACCCATGCTCATGGGTATGTGCCTACAGTCTTGCTTTTCTGTGGTCTGCTTCTTGGGTCAGCCTCTATCTGCAGGTGGTAAAAACAAGTTGTCCAATTTCTGCTTTTTGAGTTTATAAAATAGAGGAAAAAGGTGAAAAGTGTTAATTGAGGACTTACATGATCACAGCTGTCGTTTTAAATCCTGCAAGGTAGTTCAGTCGTTTGGTTTGCCAACCTTGACAGTATCATTTCTATCTTTATGAAAATAGCATTGAGATGATTTAAAGCTGACAAGTTTTGAGTCAATGGGGGAGATGTATTTAGAGGTGAATCAAGTTGGATGATTAGTTTTCCTTCAAAAGTCAAACATAATTCTTGGAATTAAATTAGAGAAGGCCAAATGTCTCATCTGGGAATGGAGAACTGGAACTTTTGGAGAACTAAGCACTTCTCAGGATCAAAACCACAGTAACAAATTTGTTTTCCTTAAGTTAAAGTAACTATATTATTCAGAACCTTTCATTTCTACTTAACTATGTTGTCAATGCACAGACACAGAATATATGCAGCTGCTAACACCTCAAGAATTTTGGAATTGTCTTTTGAAAGTTTTGGAAACTAGTTTACAAATTAAATGCTTCTGAAGATCAAAGCTTCAAACAAAAGCAAAATAAAATAGCCTGCAGTGTTAAGATTTCCTCAAGTTCGGGTAATGCAAGTCAGGATTTTGCAAAGTATTTTTATGCAGGCAGTAGGCAATTGATGTGGGGGCACTTCTCAGCTGAGGGACCGTAGGAACTTGTTGCAATGGGTCACATTCACAGTGCAGAATGTGTGTTAAAACCTGAGCCTATGTGAAGCTTTCTTAATAGTAAATTAGCTTCCCAAATGTTCATTAATTGCAGACAGGTAATTAGGTTTGCCTTATTCTCCTCCAATGCTCAACAAAAGAAGTCTAAGCCAGAGCAATTTGCAGTGGAGGTGGTTGAGAGGAAGCAGTGGCTGGAGTGCTGCAGACAGTGCTGCAGCGGTGGTTTCTCCCACGGCGCTTGAATCACTTTGCTTGCTAGCGCTGCCAACCAGCACGTGCTGCCCCAGCGTTGCCACCGCGTCCCGGGGCTGGAGGGGAGCATGAGCACCAGCATGGGCACGGCCGCGCCGGGAGAGGCGGCCGCGCCGGCCCGGGGGCTGCTGAAATCCATGGCACCGTCCCAGGCGCATTGCAGTAGGCTTTGGATTCTGTCTGGAGCTCGAAGACCATGAGAGCCTTCACATAAATACTGATTTCCACAGTCATGTTTTTAGGTATATCCCTTCATGAGTCATACGGTCCTTAAGGTATCTCTGAATTTTTCTCTCTCTTGACAATAGTGTGTGCTTTAATTTTTTAATATCAAGACTGATTTCTTCCCCCCCACCCTTTCCCCTCCATGAGTTCTGGAATGTCTTAAAGGTATTTGGAAGTGTCATTCACAGTGCTCTTTTCCATGTTTTCAGATATATTGGGAAGTCGGACTCAATAACAATCAGTGTGTGGAATCATAAGAAAATACATAAAAAGCAGGGAGCTGGTTTTCTGGGTTGTGTGAGACTTCTTTCAAATGCAATCAACCGCCTTAAAGACACTGGTTGTAAGTAAGCTAAACACTGATATTCCTTCTCTTTCAGAGCAAACTTCTGTGCATGCAATTTTTAGAAAATGACAGTTAACAGTTGTTGGGTTTGTTTTTCTTTTCTGAAGCTTTTATGTTCCATTTGGCTTGGAGTTTGTAATGTTGCTTTGTGGCTAAGGTTAGCTTAGGTCACTTAATGCTAACTTACCTTTGGCTTTTCAATTCCTTTGCCCCATTATACTATGGTATTCGGGCAGGCCTGGTAACTTGTTACAGCAAAAGTCCCTGTAGTTTTGTTTTCTGTTTTAGAATTATGCAAAATGTGTCTTGATTTAAGAACTTTTGCTTTCTCTATTTCTTGAAGTCTTAATAATCTTATTTTAGGCAAAATTTTGTCCTAATGATACTTGAGTATGGTGCTCAAAGGCAACAAAATATTGAAGGCTTAGACTTTGTTTCCTGTTTTTATAGATCAGAGATTGGATCTGTGCAAGCTTGGGCCTAATGACAACGACACTGTTAGAGGACAGATAGTAGGTAAGTGAGGCTTTTTAGCTTTTAGCTCCCTGTGAGCTTAATTGTAGCTATAGAATTACCTTCCTAAATTTCAGTTTTCTAGACTTTATTTTTAAATTTGGTGCTTAGTGCTGGAGCCATTTGGAACTCAATCTAGAAGCTTGTATGTACAGAACTATTAAATAAATAAAATCAAGACCCAAATATTGTAACCTTGATTACAAGGTATTGTAATCTATTGTAATGCTGATTTGAGACAGATAAAACCGTAGATGTGATGAGACTTACCTAGAAAGAATGATGTCTTGAATTCTGCCCTGCAAAGTGGTGGCAATTTGAGTCAGAACTCCCCATAAAAAAAAAAAATGACCACAAGTTCCTGGGCCATTGAAGCGTTTTGCAAAGAGCTGCTTGCTATGGGCTTTATGCAAGGGTAAAACGTCCTGCTGTAACAGGAACCGGTTGTTGTTTAGGATGACTTTGTTGATTCATTTTGCATTTTCACGGGTTACTGACAGATCTCACCAGTCTCAGTTACTATACTTTGTCATTGCGTTACCTCATAAACCTTAAATAATTTTGGAATTAAAAATAACACCTTGGGGTTGACAAACTGAAAAATAAACACAAACAATGTAGTGGTCTGTGGGGGCTCTCGGAAGTGTCTGTGTTCTGAGGCGTTTCAGAGGGCAGCATTTCTTAGAGCAGAGAACTTCAGAAGTCACAGAGATAGCGATCAGGATAAGGAGAATATGTGGGGAGGAAAAACTGCATGCTCAGTCTTTTTATTTAGCTAATATGCACACAGTATCCCTGTATCATCAGCCAAGGAAAAATGCTGAAAAGGCAGGCACAAAGTAAGGGCCTCAGTGCATTTCTTTGCTTTCTTTCGAGTGCTCTGTTGAATAATTCCTATGGCTTTGTCTCTGTGTGTTGTTTTAACCAGCTGTGTAGTGTCTGATCTGCAAGGGTTTGCAAAGCATCAAGATAGGATTAAGGTGCCACAGTAAGGTCAAATACTGGTAGAAACATGGAGTCATAGGGGCATTGCTGATGCTTCAGACCGCTCTGGGACTTTGGTTTTCCATATAAGCTTACACAGAACCGAGGAAGATGAAACAGCCCTTTAGATGGGCTGTGCTGTGCTGTCAGCTTGGCTCGCTTCTGGTTTTGCTCCTGACCATCCGTGCTCGTTTTGTTGGTGGGCTTCCTTGGAGCAGGAAACCTGGAGCGCGGCTGGCGGCGCGGCCCCTTCCCGGCCCGTTCCGGGGATCCCTGTGTCCCGCAGCGCCTCGGCCGGGCCGTGGGGCTCTGCTCACGTGCTGCCCCCGAGACGCTCACCTCCGTTTGGGCTCTATAAACAAAATATCCCCGAAACCCAACACGGGAAACACCACAGCTTGGCAGGGTCCAGCAAATGTGTGTGCTTTGCTTTAAGCTGTTGCTATTAAGAAGGCTGAGTTTCCTCAGTCCCTGCTTTGATTTAAAGTAACAAATGCATGGGAAGGGTCCAGAGACTCCTGTCTTTTTTTTCCTTTTTCTTTCCTTCTTTTTATCAAAGTTATTCATGTCATTATTCATGTCCTTATTCTTCAGTCTTTCTTCACTAAAGCAATTTTGGTGAACGAGTGAGTTGAGCCTGAGTGAGAGTAGGTAATTTCCCTGCTATGGTTAAATATGAAGAAATTGTGATTAAAAATGGTAAAATAGCAATGAGATGGAAAACAGTCTAAATATACTCCTAATCTTAAAATGATGGACTAGTTAAAAGGCTACGTAAGATTGGAAAAAAGTCTAGTCTATTAATATATAATTGATATATTTGGCAGTTGATAACCTTACAAATCAAGTGCGCAGTGGGAATGCCTTGGTATCATGAGACAGGGAGCAAAGGGATCTTTATTGGAAATACCTGGGTTTATCATCAAAGGGGGGAAGAGAAGGGGACACTTGTGAGTAGTGGATGCAAAGGGCACCTGAATTGTGTCTTAATCTTGCAGCTCTCTTCTGTGCCACCATTTTATTTCTGATGTGGCGGTGCAGAAAAAAAAGAGTCCTTACTCATTACAAAATGAAGCCGGGCACAAATTTTGGTCCTCACGTAGGCAAAGAGGAGGTAATTGCCTTTGTTTAGTTTCATTTTTGTCTGTGTGTATTGCTTGCCGAACCTTGCCTACATGCAGCAATGTGAACTTGTCGTGTGTGGGTTTGTTGCAGAATAAATACAGCTCTGGTTTTGTTTCAGTTGAAATTAAGGTGCCTTTCACTCTAGGGAAGAGGTGCCTTGTAACATTAGTGTTCATGGAAGAGTAAGAATTAATATTGTTCAGGAATGTAGCAAGCAAGTACAGTAGGAGTCCTTATTTCAGTCTTTGAAGGCCCCAAACGGTAAGCTTCAATACACCTTGTTGGTGGTGTTTAACACTTGGTCTCTTTAGCAAAATTTACGTGTATTTAAATCCCTTGTACCATTGTGATCTTGACAAATATTTGGTTGGGTCTAGATTTAAGTCTGTAAATCCATTTCATTTTGTGTCAGCAGCACTTGAACACAGTTGTCCAGAGGTCCTTTAGTGCCACGGCCCATATTTAACTTTTGGTTCTGAGTAATCCTTTTACTGTTAAAAACTTTCAAAAACCCAGGAACACCGGTACCATAAATTATCAGATTGAATGCTTGCAAATTATGACATTAGGAACAAAAGCAGTCCAAGAAAATCCTTGTTTTCATAATTTTAGTAAAAGAGCTTGAGGCATAAATATCCGTTACAATAGAACATGTAAAAATTCTAATTGTGTTTTTTGTTGTTGTTGGGGGCTTTAAAAAAAAAAAAAAAACAGATGTTGAGGGTTATTCAGGGTGCAGATTGCTGCTTTGTGTGAAACAATTGCATTTGATTTCTTATTGCTGATGTCTGAAAGGAGCTGATAAACCAATCCATAGTGCTTATAGCATTTGCGTTTTGCTTGTTTTGATGTGTGTGGTGTGTGTGCTGAACCTCACGTGCATACAAAATACGCAGAAAGAAGGCTAACGCACAAGGGAATCGTAGTGTTTTAGAGCTTTCTGTTATCAGTGTTCCCTTCCTGGTAGCACTGAAGCCTGACACCAGCACTGCACTCTCTTGCTGTCCTAGCCATTCCTGGCTACTGAGCCACCCTGGTGCCACCAGACAAACCCTTCAGTTTTGTTAAGTTGCCATCTGCTTCCTACAGCGAAAGTTAAGGACAGTTTCAGAGGACTTTTTAAAATCTTATATTCATATACTTTAAGCCAGCTTTCTTTTGAAGTAGTGTGCAGAGAATTATATGTGTGAAAATATACTGTTTCTGCCTAAATTTTCTTTGATTTGTGGGAAGGAAAAAATATCCACAATGTGGTTCAATTTAGTCCTCCAAGTTATACCAGTCTCTTTCAAATATAAGTATATTTGTATTCAGGTGTCGTATTCTTAATTATTTTTTTATTATCTTAATAGTAAGTCTTCAGTCCAGAGACCGAATAGGCACAGGAGGACAAGTTGTGGATTGCAGTCGTTTGTTTGATAATGATTTACCAGATGGGTAAGCTGACACCAGTGTGATATAAATACAAAATGATCCATGCCACAGACTTTTGCAATAATGAGAAGTAAAAGTAAAAATAGGTTATTTGTTTTTATTCCAGCGCTGTCTGTCCTACAGTTTTTAATTTAGAAGCAGGAGATAAGGCAGCTACTTACTTAATTTTGAAGGCTGCATGCAATGGTTAATAATTTGACCCTTGTCTTGTCCCTTCTTGGGGAGGGGGGAAAGGAGATTGAATAATGAGTACGTGCATTAAAGAATATATATATATATATATATTTTAACAAATCATAGATCTTTCAAATTATAGAATTGATAAACTACTCGAAAGTGACTTTTTAATGAAAAACAAGTATAGTGCAGAAAGGTGATGTGATAGCTTTTACTGAGACAAGCTATTAAAAACATGGAATAGAGTATTGGACATGTTTTCAGTAGATTTCTTCATATTGTTATTTGGATTTAATTATAATTCAAATACTTACTCAACATGATGGTGGGATATTGTTAATGATATGGAAAAAAGAGGAAAACACACAAAATTAATTCTAACTTGAACTCTTAGTAGTTTCCTGCTACCTTGTTGAGCTAGCATGATTCATAATAGTAAAACTCTTCCTGAGTTGGCACTTACGTTGGAAACACTTTGTGCCCTAATTTCCTGAAAATACCACTCATAGCCTTATCTCTCAATGTCTGGAATCTAGGTGGGAGGAGCGGAGGACTGCTTCTGGAAGGATCCAATATTTAAATCATATTACACGAACAACGCAGTGGGAAAGACCAACACGGTAAGAAATTATTTGGAGTCTGTTCATTCGGAGAAGTTTGTTTTGACACTCTACGTGAATTGTAGAGTCAAATATAACTACACAGAAACTATAGCTTTAAACTGTGGTTGCATTTGACTTGAAATAATTGTATACTGCTAATCCTGCCAGCTCTGATACATATTTTCAAACGACTGAAGGTACTGATTTTTTTAAAATTATATTTTTCCTGGTGTGTTAAAATATCTAACCTCTAGACACTAAGCTCTAGACATGATTACAATAGAAAAATCTGAAATATGTCATTTGTCCTAGAAGATTTCCTGCAGTCTTATGAATCCTCCTTAACCTGTTTAAAATCCTTTTGAAAGCAGCATTGAGGTACAGAACTATATAACTCCATGTTTCCACTTGCAGTCAAGCTACTGAGAGCAACTATTTCTGTCTCAGCCCCTTTCATCGCGCTCACCTACTACTCTTTTATAGGAATACAAGGATTCTTGTATATACAAGGTTCCTTGGATTCTTAAGAATACAAGACCAGGCTTCCTTGGTGAGCAAGATGAGAAAGTTTGAGTTGTGAGTCCCTCACCAAAAAACAATTTTACTCTCATTCCTCTGTTTTTAAGCTGCAACTTGTTCGTGTGAGTTTTTGATATGACCTTGATGCTGCAATATCGTCTACTAAGCATTGCAGCATCACCTAGTAAGTGTCAGGTTAAGCCTAAGTTAGATAAAAAGGTTTACTGACCACTTTGGGATGAGCCCAGCGTACTCGGAATAAAAGTTTCTTGCTTGTAGTCAAGGTATCCCGCCGGATGAGTCAGCTGCTGTGTTCTGCAGTCCAGTAAGTTTTTCCAATATCCTTAACAGAAGCTCCTGTAAATTATATTGCAGAGTCCAGTGTCCTGCAAAGAATCTAGGTGGATTTCTTAGTGGCAAATGCATGCATTTAAAGGCCAACAGGGATTCAGCCTTGCCCTGAAAGGTGCCTCCTTCCTCTCACATGTTAAGTGAAACTGGCTGCAGGAAGCACTTCTGTTGTTTGGTGCACACGCATGTTTCTTTGCAAGGTGTTTTAGATTAATTAAAGTATAATTTTAGAAACTTGAATTTCTCAGGTAGGAAAGGCAAATACTTTTCATGTTGTTTTATGTATTTATTTTCCTTCTGCCTCACCAGGCCAGCCTCTGAATATTCCAGTCCAGGAAGACCTCTAAGCTGTTTCGTGGATGAGAACACTCCAATTACAGGAACGAATGGTGCAACGTGTGGGCAGTCGTCAGACCCGCGAGTGGCAGAGAGAAGAGTCAGGTCACAAAGACACAGAAATTACATGAGCAGGACACACTTACACACTCCTCCTGATCTACCTGAAGGATATGGTAGGCAAATTAGAAATTGTTAATTGTAGGTCTTCCCAGGTGCTGGGAAACTGGGTTCTCTCTTACTCTCATGTGTAAGATGCTTTTGTTTCTTAGCTTGAAGAATCAGTCTTTCAGTATGTTTGTATTGTTTGTTGTTGTTCTTACTACTTTATCTTGATTCCACAGAGCAAAGAACTACTCAGCAAGGTCAGGTCTATTTTCTACATACTCAGACTGGTGTTAGCACGTGGCACGATCCAAGAGTACCTAGGTAAGGAAAGAATGATTACATCCATAACGCATCAAATAGCAGAATTACTGGAAGTCTCCCCAGAGTTCTCTGTCCGGTGTGATATTTCTCACTGCTGGCTGCTAACATGGTCTTGAGTCATTCATTAAAATAAAATAGTCACTTTGCTTAATTATTATTTTAATGTAGCAAAGGCTGATCTAGTTGCAAATTACAGAAGCATTTTGAAAACATGTGTAGCTGGCTAATTGTAGGTATCGCATATGAATTACAGTGCAGGTCCATTCTTTTAACAGCAAATTAATAATTAAACAAAGTCTATTCATCTAGGTACTTTAAAGGAAAAAAATGATTCTGTAAAATTCAGTATAAGATGGTTAACAAGATTTGAGAAACTGGCAACATATTTATGAACTTTGCCAGACAAATGTACTAATTTTTGACTGGGAAGGAGAAAACTTAAGTTTAGTTGGCTATGAGCATTATTGTCCCATGTTCAGAGTACTGCATGTGATTTACTCAAGGAATGAGAAGTTTGGTACATTTTGAGGAAACGAATGGGAGGCACAGGAACATAAAAATTCTGTTGAAGGGGTGAGGTATGTTTAAAGTGCCTAGATTTTTTTTTTCTCCCCAGACAAGGATTTTTTTCATTTTAGTAGCAATTAAATAGTAAATGGCTTTTTAAAATAAATAAATAGAGGCTTCCTGTATAGAGCAAAAATTTATTTTCTGTATGTACTTTATCACAGATGTTCCTAGAACATCATTTGTGCTTTGAAGTACCTTATTAACAGTATATAAATGGTGAGGGGGGGAAAAATGCAGGGGAAAGGAGAAAACAGGTAAAGCAGCTGAGGAAAGGTTGACCTGTGTGTGGTGGGGGAATCCTCAGACTGCTACATCTGTTACAACCACCTCAGCCCTTAGAGAAAGTAAATCTGAAGCATCCTGGCAGAATACAAAATACTTCTTGGTACTGAGAGTATTATCAATAGGAATAGTGAAATCAAGAGGGAAAACTTTGAGGAATATTGTGAGAGAAATCCATATATCACTGTCATTTTTGAGCTGCTAAATAGAGTTCTGGACTCTGTTCCTTGCAAAATTAAAACTAGATAAAGTGCTAAGAAAGTGTACTCTAAAGAACAGTCTTACACTGTCCGGGAAATGGAAAATGTAATCTAAGAATTTTTCATCTCCAATTTCTAGGACATTTAGAATCATTATCTGATTTAGTGTCATATATCATTATACAGATTATACAGATCATCAGCCGCATGTATATGGGGAGTACAAGAGGCAGCTTGATACCAGATTTACACAAATATACACACACAAAATCAATAAATGTGCATTAAAAATGTGCTGATTAGTTTCTTATATGAATCTCCAAAATGAAGCAACATCCTTCTGGTTTGAGTAGGTTTTTAAGAGCAATTAAAATTTCTGCGTGTTAGTGCAGAGCCGAATACTCTTCATACGGTCTTTTATTTGGAATATTTTGGTAGAGAGTTGCTTGCATCCCACTAGCACTTGAGATTTTGGGGCAGAAATTGCTTGTGGCCTAAGCACATCTCCAGTGCCTAAGTCTTAATGGAAAGTGTAAGTGTTCAGAAATATAGTTTTGTTTTACAGGAGTCTTTAAAGTGTGATTCAGAGTTTCTTAAATGACTATTTTTTTAATGCTGTCAGAATTGGTGTAGAAGTGCAATTCCATTTGGCAAATATGGCAGTGGCTTTTTGTTTTAATGTAACGTTTCTAGCTATTTTATAAAAGCGAAGATTATTTCCTAAGAATTCTCGCTCTGCAAGTCATGTGCCGTGGGGCGGATGGTTTTTCTTTGGTGGGTTTGTACCTTGGGAGCAGCGATTCCAGCTGAACAGCTCAGGTTTCTGAAACAATACATTTTCTCAGACTGCATGGAATTGTTCTGTTACATTTACGCTTGTTTGGCTCAGAGGCCAAATGCTGAGGTATTTTTCATTTTATATTTGTTTTCACAGGGATCTTAGCAACATCAATTGTGAAGAGCTTGGTCCACTGCCTCCTGGATGGGAGATCCGAAATACAGCGACAGGCAGGGTTTATTTTGTTGACCATAACAACAGAACAACGCAGTTTACGGACCCACGGCTATCTGCTAACTTGCATTTAGTCTTAAAGTAAGTCAAAAGTGTCCAGCACATGTTCAATATAACAAAGTGGCTCTTGAGGAGTGCTTGGACGTAGATCCAGGTGTCTCTCACCATTCAGGATTATTTAGAGTATAGTAGAAGAGTTCTTTAAAATACCACCAGCTTACTCTGTGTACCACAGCACAGACCAGGTGCTTGCTTGTTCTTGTATTTAAAACAGCAGCAGCAAAATCCAACAGCATTTTGACAGGGATGTTGTTGTTGGGATGCCCTGGGCCAGGGAGCAAAGCTGGTATCTCCCCATGGAAAAGGTTGGTCATGGAATTTTTCCCAGCAATCAGAGAGATTCCTTTGTACTGTTTTCTTTACTTTTTACTACTTTTAGTTATAGAGTATTCATTTTAAAATAATCATGTTGCATTTGATAGCTATTGAAATAAAATACTGATGGATTTTGCAAGGGAGCCCAAATACTCAGCTATCTTCTAGACAGGAGGAGAAAATCACTCAGGCCCAATCTTCAGTTATAGAAGATGACTAGATGAGATGTTCTGAAAATAAACAAACTCATTAAAATCCGGTTATCGGGTTTGTTACCAAATTAAAAAAAAAAATCTGCAGATACCAACCACCTTAGTGTTGATTTTTTAGGTAGATCTCCAATCCGAAGTATTTTCATGACTCATGTAAAAAGGGGGAGGGGACTCAAAAAGATTCTGGCTCCTGTTTTAATTCCCCCAGCACTCATTTTATACTGGAAAACTTTCTATTAAAAATGGACAGCAAAAAGCAAAAAAATATTTGTTTTGTCTAGACAGGGCTATTAGCTTGTCCAAGTGCTGTGGAAATTTGATCCTGTTGTTTCTCCTATTAACACCTTGTAGTGCTGCTGGGAAACACCTGTATGATGATAAGTAGGTGTTAAGTGGGAGAAACAATGAGGAGCTGGTAAGAGAAGATCATTAGCTCAGATTTAGATTTTACTCAAAGAAAGATCCCAAATGCTCTTTTAGTCTAACCTGTAAAAAAAAATCAATTAAATCGAACTATATTAAAAAAAAAATTGGGAGGTGTATTTATTTTTAAATGGTGTTGATCTAGTGGCTACTTGGACGCTTATAGAGCACCTGATATAGCTAACAATATCCAAAAAGTCCATTTTGATTTTCAGGTTCAAGAACTACAGAAACAGAACCCATTGTGTGATTTTATTTTTTTTCTTCTTTTTTTTAATCTTAAAGACCATTTGCTGAAGTTTTTCATTTGTACATCTGCCTTTCATAAAAAAGATTTCAGAAATTTAACCAGCAGCGTCATGAGCAAAGTCTGCTCTTAGTCTGCTGCTTGATAAATCTTTTCTGGTATTTGTTCTTTTATTGCACCAAAGAGGATATGTGAAAACTTTTTAACCTACCTCCTTATTTGTTCTTAAAAAATAAATAATTTGCTGTAGGCCTGTCATTTTCTAAATTATCTGAGAAAATTTGGGGTGGGTGGGATAAAGTTTTAGGTTCAAAGCCATAATAAAAAGTTCTCTTTCAGTAATGCAGACTTTTCTACTGAAGTGAGAAATTTGTTTTTCCAGGGATTGCATTATAAGCTATGAAAATAATCGGACTTGTTACCCAGTTCTGTTAAAAATACTGGCCAAGGGTTCCCGGTGGTGTTGGATGTTTATGGCACCTGAAGAGCTCTTAGCCATGCCCTGAGGGCACTGTACACAGCAACGTGTACTCATTCAGCTTGGAAAACAGAGACATTAAATTTGGGGGCAGTAACCTAATTTTATTATTCTAAGCACTGCAGATTATTTAGCTAATGCTACACTGTGATTATTTTTAGTCTAGCGAGGAGGATGGTATTTCATTTTTCTTCTAGGCCTGGCATATTTTAGACTATTTAAATTTGATGCATAGTTCATAAATCCATGGTCACTTCAGAGATTGGTTGCCCTGGGACTGACATTAGCTGGTTTTATGTCTAGGGACTGCTGTCTTTATACTGCTAGAGACACGAATATGTGCTTTCATGTAGGGTATGTACAGGTGAAGTACAGGGGAGACTTTTGCTGGTTTGTCCTTGTAGAATTAGAAAGTGCATTGATTCCTCCTTAAGCCAAGGATTTTAAGGGGTTTTATTATTGTTATTATTATTAGCAGTGTTAAGCTTTGAGTTGTTGATGAGCTGATCGGCAGCGTGTGTCACAGCAGGGCTTTCTGAATGCTCGGCTGTTAGGGGAGTTGAAGTTCAATTTCTGGTCACCTGGTGGTAGCTTTTTTCTTTTCTTTTTTTCTTTTTTTTTCTTTTCCCTGCAAATTTGCCTTAAATAAAAACTAGGTTAAGAAGAAACCCTGAGTAGCTATTGGAACCACCCTCTTCCCTCCAGTAGTAGCTATCTTGTTTCAAAATAGAGGACAGACTGAAATGTATCCACGGTTGAAATTGCATATGGTTCTATTGAATAATTCTGGTTTTTGACATTTAAAAAAAAAACTTATATTCCATTGAAAAAACGTCCTGAATTTTTACCTTCCCGCTTATCCAGGAAACGTAGCACATTACAGTGGGCTCTATGCAGAAATTTTCTTCTTGTGTTTTGGGTAAAATGTAACTTTTATCCTGTGTTGTTTTGAAACACCATACTAAAAAGCTGGGTCACACAAAAACATCCACTGGCTGTGTATGAGAAAGGGCACTTTCATATCTCTGCAACAAGATTAGTTTACAGTTTCTAGTAAGAGGTTAGCTTTACAAAATCTTTCGGAATTGCTAGTAAAAATACTTGTTTATCTGTGCCAATGAGGTACATGTGAACTCCCTGCATTCCTGTGGTCCAGACTAGGCCAGGTACAAGGGACAAGGTCCCTGCCCAGCTGCCAGAACAAACAGCTTTTTGTAAGCTCGCGCTTGCAGACAAGCCATTTAAAACAGACTATGGTATTGACTGCAGATTAGAGGCACAGTGTTTGGCAGATCCCTGCATTTAAAATGGAGGGAGGTAAAACACGCAGAGGAAATATGGAAATGGAATCTGAGAAATTCAGCGTCAGCAGCTCAGTAGTAAAATTGTATGGATAATACCTTATTATATAGTGCTGTAACCTTTTACATACTTTGCAGAGCAGTACTAATAGAAATAACAAACTCTAAAACCAACTGATAGCTGCCAAGGCAGACGTGTGTGTCTTTAGTCAGAAGAAAATCTCCCTGGATATATTTTTATTTTTTTGATGGACCTGGACATTTTTAGCATAAGCACAATAATAACTATAGTAAAACGAGTCTGGTTTAGTTACGAAGACTTAACATTTAAAAACGGCCCAAGGAAAATCGAGCCCGTGTGACTTGTACATCTGCAAACAGCTGCTTGTTTCTTCCAGCCGCCAGAATCAGCTCAAAGACCAGCAGCACCAGCAGCAGCAGCAGGTTGTGGCCTTGTGTCAGCTTCCCGACGAGGCCGAATGTCTCACGGTGCCAAGGTACAAACGGGACCTCGTGCAGAAGCTCAAAATCCTGCGGCAGGAGCTGTCACAGCAGCAGCCTCAAGCCGGCCACTGTCGCATTGAGGTCTCCAGGGAAGAGATTTTTGAGGTAATTTGAGAACTCGGCACGTGTATTACCATAAATAATGGGGATGGGGAGGAGGGTTGTTGTGGTTAAAGAAGCGATTAAGGCGGATGAAATTGTGAAGTCCAGAGTTAAAGCTGGAAGTTCACGAGTGGTGAACGGAAAGAAGAACCGGTTCAAGGGGATGTTCAGAGCAGTTGCTTATTTGAAGTAGATGCATTTACACCATAGAGAAGGAGAAAGGGGAGGAAGGCTTTCCATGTCCCTGGGGCTGTGCAGATGGTGTCAAGGACCAGGGAAAGTGTTTGTGTGTTTCAAGATACCATTTCACTTGCTGAATATAAGAAAACTGGTGTGTTATAGAATGTTGCGAGCAGCAACAGCAAGCAGAATTGTACATGGTCTTTAATGTCTTGCAACGTAACTAAAATGACTACTGACCAGCATTCATATTCAAAGTTTATATTACTTAGCCTTTTTATTTAATAAGTCCTATTTTGTGAAATCTCTAGGTTTGTGGGCATCTCTGGTCACTCAGTGTTGTGTTTTGCATTTTATTTTATGAGATGATTCTGCTGAATCAGCTAAACCTATTTACAATTTGTTGGCTTGTGCTGGAGAACAGTCTGTCTCCTGGAGGCCCCGGTCATCCCTCACACCCGTCCTCGTCACCTTTCACCCCACCCATAAACTTCTACCCGCGGTGACAAAATCCTTGTCACTGTTTTCCCAGCCAAGAAGGATTTATATTGGTCTTCCCTTTGGGGCAGTCAAATCACTTCCTAATCAACTAAGGGAAAGAAAGAAGGATAGAGCAGCTGCACTGCAGTGCAAACGATTAAATTTCCTGTTCTGAAAACTACGCTGTTCGTGCTGGATCCCAGGCAGGCCTGCTGCTCTGCTCCCTGCAACGCCAAAGATCTGCACAGCAATAGGGTATAAATTAAGACTAGACACTTTGTTTAAATGTGTTTTTGCCTTTTTTTTTTTTTTTTTCTTTCCCTCCCCCAGCAGGAGAACACCTATAAAGCAAGCTGGAAGCGCCACTAGTAGAAACATTATTTTCTTTCAATTTCTGTAGATTACTGGGGTGACATTGATGCTAATGTTCCTCAAACGCTCCCTGGAGACTCCAGTCTGCCTCTGCCCAGAGTAGCTGCTCCGCTGTTGGCCTTTCAGGCTGGAAAAACCGTGTGCCTTTGTGCAAAGTAAAATGATTTCAGTGGCACAGACTGAAACTTTTAGCAACATAAGAAGAAAAATACTCTGATCACTGCACATCCCTGGAAATTTAGTAGAAGGTGGCTCTTATCATGTATCTGTTTTATTTGACACGTGTACCACAATTGTAGAAAACGGTGTGATTTGAGAGGGAGTGGTTAGTATCTTTGAAAACAGCACCTCTTTGGGGTTTAACTTGGAGAATCCCGCCCATTTCTAATAAATACTAGTAGTTTCTTCTCTGTAAATAGCAGTTAACGCATAATGATGTGCTGTGTGGTTACAGGAATCCTACAGGCAAGTCATGAAGATGAGGCCTAAAGACCTGTGGAAGCGGTTAATGATAAAATTTCGTGGGGAGGAAGGCCTTGACTATGGAGGTGTTGCCAGGTAAACAGCCCAGCTCCTGTCAGCCTGGATCACAAACCAGTCTGCCAGCGGCCCTGTTTCTTTGTAAATTTTCTTTTCAACAGATTGGATGTTAGAAGAATTTATATTTCCAGATAGTCTGCTAATGCAAAGACTACCATTAAAAAACAAACAAACAAAAAAAGCATTATGGAACTTTACAAATTGTTGACTACTCTTTGAAATGGAATATGAAAACTTAGCAGTTAATAGTCAGCTAAAGCCTGTCGGTGGCCCATGAGGTTACCTTGGCTTACAAAAAGTAACACTTTTTGGATTGTATCAAGATACTCTTCATTTGCTAAAGCACTGACTAAAATTCTACATGGATGCTAGTTTAATTAATTTAAAATATGCTCCACCTCTACTGCCCGGATCGCTACTCTCCAGGTGAATGTCAGTTTGACCAGGGGTAATTCATGGTTTATGTCAGGGCCAGCACAGCTGTGCTGTTATAGTGGAGTTTTCTGCATAGCATTCTGAGGGCACAAGTATTATTTTCAAAGATATCTTCTTGAATTTGCGGATGGCTCCTAGAAGTTTTACTTCACCCTCCTTCTTAAATATTTGACTATTAATATATTAAGTATTAATATCTTGGTTAGCTGTAGCTAAGACAGCAGTCTAGCACCTTGACTTAATTTCTGCTAAATCTTTGGTAATAACAATACTGTGAATCACAATTAGAAACGCTCTTGGAAATAAGTAACCAGGAAAAAAAACAATCCTGGAAAGCTGGGAAATCTGCCAGCTGTCAGGTGCTGTGGAGTTACAGAGCCAGTAAAAATAGCTGCAACTTCTGCCTTACCTAAGCGTGCTCACAGCTAACTTCCTTCACAATTTCGTTTAACAGGGAAATTAAAATTCCTGCTATTCTGCAGATTCTCAGGGTAGGAATGCACTTGTCTGAAGTGTGTAATATATTATTTTCTTCAGGGAGTGGCTCTACTTACTGTCCCATGAAATGCTGAATCCATATTATGGTCTCTTCCAATATTCCCGAGATGATATCTACACACTGCAGATCAACCCCGACTCTGCAGTTAACCCGGTATGACTGGTAGCATGAGTTCTGCAAATGATCTTTTTGTGGCCTAGAAATTAAATATGTGGAGAATGTTCTGGACCTAAGGAATCTAATTCTCGCATTAGTATTGCTAGGGGCTGAGTTTGTGCAATGATACGACCATTTCTTTGTAGTACTGATCAAAGAAAAAATTCAAATGTCGTCTTAGTTTTGCGAGATGTTGATTTATGTTTCTCTTGTGAAAAATTACATTTATTTTTATTCTTAATGGCAAGAGTTCTGGATTGGAAGCAATATATGCAGTATTCTATGTATCAAAACAAAAAACTCTGTAATATTTTTTTCTTTATATTGAAATTTAAGGTTGAGCAAATATCTGGAGGTCTTAATTAGCTTAATTAGCCTTTGCCTGTCCTTTCCATTCCAGGAACACTTATCGTATTTCCACTTTGTTGGCCGGATAATGGGCATGGCCGTGTTTCACGGTCACTACATCGATGGGGGCTTCACGTTGCCTTTCTACAAGCAGTTGCTGGGGAAGCCAATTACTTTGGATGACATGGAATTGGTTGACCCTGATCTTCATAACAGCTTAGTCTGGATACTGTACGTACCATGCACTGCATTTTACAACATTAGAATTCCATTTCAGTTAACGAGGGGTATATATTCCTAAACCCAACTGAAAAGCAATTAAGTATATTTTGTTCTCCCGCTCAGGTGACTTTAAAAAGCATCTTTCTTAGCTGCACAATAAAATAGTTCAGCTCCATTTAGTTTTAAACTGTTCAATTTTAAATTGTCATTGAGTTCTAAACTGTTCAATTGTTCAGCAATACTATTTTTTCTATTATTAACAGTAATGCATTATATATTATTATATACTATTTAACTATTCTTAAAATTATTCTGTAATACAACTTAGCAAAAAATCCACGTTCACCTTTGGCTTCTGAGCAGTGATTTGAAATGTTAGTGAAAACTGATATGTGTTAGATATATTATGGCTGTGATGTATTTTTACCGTATATTTTCACTGAGTAACTTGCTTATTTCTTTCCACCAGTGAGAATGATATCACAGGAGTCTTGGACCATACATTTTGTGTAGAACACAATGCATATGGGGAAATCATTCAGCATGAACTGAAACCCAATGGCAAAAGCATCCCAGTAACAGAGGAAAATAAAAAGGAATATGTCAGGTATCATCAATATTTTTTCCAAAGTTTTTGATTGGGAGGGGGTGCTTTCACTCTCTTGAAATAATCAAGCGTCCTGTTTTGGTTTTAGTTCTGTTTTTCCCAAGTGGGAGTGTGCTAATCTTGTTGTAACATGTTTCTGTCAGTAAGGTCAGGTTTTGGGTGGATAATTTGCAAGTTTATTGTATTTGAATACGTTTTTCACAAAACAAATTTGCACTTGCTTGCAGACTTTATGTAAACTGGCGATTTTTACGAGGAATTGAAGCTCAGTTTCTGGCTTTACAGAAGGGATTTAATGAAGTAATCCCACAACATCTGCTGAAGACATTTGATGAGAAGGAGTTAGAGGTCAGTACGCTAACATGACGTTATGTCGTCGAGTGCAGCGGTAAAGGCGGCAGCATTCTTCCGAGACTAAGTAACGTGCTAAGTTGTATCCCCAGTGCTTTAGGGGGGTTGCAGGTGCAATGTTACAAGAAATACAGTTAACATAAGAGGTCACCAGGTCCTGCAGTCTCCGAGACTGCCTTCTCTTAGGCTGTCGTCGTGTGCATCTTTCACTGAGAACCCTGGAAGTGATTCTCAAGCTGACATTTCATAGCAACTGCAAAAGTGGTAGTTCTTATTTCAGTCTGATCTTTGGGACACAGCGAAGGAGACTGTGTCCTACGCCTGAAGACCCGACTGAATTTCCTGAGAAGGGCAGGCAGTGCTCGGGTTGTTTCGCAGTGGTACTGCAGCAGAAGCTGCAGTGCGTATTTCTCACGGTGGAGTTCCACAAAATTAAATTCAGTGCTGCCAGGAAAATAGTCTGTCACTCCCTTCCACCTCCCACCATTTGCTTGCAGCCCTTCCAGGGCGCCGACTTTGGTGTCAGGCAGCTACATGTGGTTTTGCAGAGCCGAGTTGCATCAGACTAAACTGGCCTTGCAAATACAGCATGAAGAAAGGTGCTATCGGCGCTGTCGCCAGCAAACGTGCTACAAAATGCCAAGACGGGGTCCAAGTATCCTTCAAGACAAATCCCACAGATCACAAATTTGCTTAAAAATGGAAATCTAATACACACACTGTCAGCTGCAGAGCTTTTATTTATTTATTTATTTAGCCACACACTGTGGCTACAAGATAGATTGTTCATGCTTCCTTCTGTTCCCTGAGCGTTGGTGGCTGCTGCTCTTTTATCTTGAATGTTCTCATTCCACAGTGTGAGCTGACCGTGCTGTAAATCTAGGCTCATTTTGCAGATGCAGAATTTGAAGGGGGAGGTCTGGTATTCCTAGTCACGAGAAAGTATCTTTATAGTCAAATCCCTATCAAGTTTAAACCAATTGCTGATCTTCATTTAGACATGCTGAAAGCTTTTCTTCAGAGGGGAAAAAAACATGATTTATATTACACACAACATTAAACATGTATTACATGTACATTTATAATCTCCTTTATATTACATGTATAAATATGGCAACAATAAAAGATTCCCTTTCACGGTTCAGCGTTGGGTGAGGCAAGTTATACTCTTAGTTACTCTCTAGAAAATAGTACTGCATTTAATGGCATACGCAGTATCTGTGCATGCAGTATCTGTGCTACCAGTATGGAGTTGACTAGATGCTTTCATACCACCTTATGAATTAGCTAAACTTTGATTTGAATTGGGGGAAAAAATGAATATTGCATGAAGGTAAAAGATCAAAAAAGAAAATGAAAAAATATTTCTACATTGATTTGTGGGAGGATAAAATTTCTTTGGTATAAAAACTGTGTTTTTTTTGTTTGTTTGTTTTTTGTTTTTAATATATCATAATTGGAATTTGTCCAAAGCCATTTGATTATTTTGATAACTGATGAAGCATTTGCTTATATTCTAAATTCACAGCTCATCATCTGTGGACTCGGAAAAATAGATGTTAATGACTGGAAGGCAAATACTAGGTTAAAACACTGTACCCCAGATAGCAACATTGTGAAATGGTTCTGGAAAGCTGTGGAGTTTTTTGATGAAGAAAGGAGAGCACGACTGCTCCAGTTTGTGACTGGCTCCTCCCGAGTGCCTCTGCAGGGCTTCAAGGCTTTACAAGGTAACATTTCCGCACAACTAACTGCAAATGCCTGTACTTGGGGAAGCAATAGGACACATCACGGAAACATTAGCTAAAAATGAAGCTGGTTGGTAATTTGATTTATTCGAAGGGGGTTTTAATGGTCTGATGAATAGTAATTCCAGATTTTTTTTTAATTGGAATTTGTTCATTATGTTGTGATTCAGCTGTAAATGCTTTTGTTTCAGCTGGACACTTTTCTCCAGCAGAAAGTTCTGATCACAGGAGATTTTTTTTTCTTTCCTTTTTTTCCCCTCCCTCCCTCGTTACTTAATTTTCATATTTTACAATCCCTCATCATCTGTACAGCTTGGTGACACACCAACATGCAGTGTCCTTGTGACTTGAACAGCAGAGGGTCTTCAGTAATGTTGACTGCTCTTATTCAAGCAGCCCCATCATCACAAGCAGCCCAGGAATCAGAAAGGATTTCCTTAATTGCCCACCAGTTTTGTGAGCTCTAGCTGAAGTTCTCTCTCTTACAGCAAGTCTGGCTGCAAGCCATGCTTCTGGGTTTGAAAACAAGTTTCCCTAATTTACCCTCTCACGACTTGTGAGAAAACTGGTCAGGGAAACCCTGACTATAAAGCAATTTTGTAGGTGGAAAGATTTGATTCCAACCAGATACATATTCTGTGCTAAACTGCTTGATAGGCATAAAGAATTTTTGGTAATTTTTTTTCCTACTTACTTATATGATTTGAGTGTGTTTTTTTTTTTTTTAACCCATAGTTTCTCAATGTTGGTTTAGTTCCTTTACAAGGAAACAGTGCAATATGGCAATTTCCTACAATGTGGTACAGTAGTAATAGAACTTTGTGGGTTTTGCTTTATTTTTGTTTGGCAGGTGCTGCAGGTCCACGGCTATTTACAATACACCAAATTGATGCCAGCACTAATAATTTGCCCAAAGCTCATACCTGGTAAGACTTCTTTCTGCGTCTCTATTGCAAAATACAGGTTAAGGCTACTTTGCAGTCCCTGGAATATGAGCTACCTTTTTTTTTCTCTCCTCTCTTACCAGATAATAAATGTTATCTATTACAGATTAGTAAAGGTGTAAAAACTGCAGTCTGCTTTTATTTATAAGAAATTCTGTGAGCCTTGTTAAGCGCTGCTTTGCTGCTTTGTCACTTTTCAAGTATGTTAAAAACAAGGTGTTACCTGTCTGCATGAGGTTTAAGTTTTCTAGTTAGTTGAAACTTTTGCTTTCTCTTCACAGCTTTAATCGAATAGACATTCCTCCCTACGAAAGCTATGACAAGCTCTACGAGAAGCTGCTAACTGCCATTGAAGAAACATGTGGGTTTGCTGTGGAATGACCCTTCACAGCCTTACCTGAGACTCTATTTATACTCCTGTCAGCCAGAAAGCCCTTCCCTCAGACAAGACTCAAGAAATGCTTGAAATACAGGAAACTTTCCCTCTTCTACACTAGGACACTGTGAGGGAAAGGACAACTTTGGATTTTTTTTTTTTTCAAGAAAATAGGTTCTGTGGCTCTTGCCAGAGAATCATTCAGCTGCTATTAAAAACTAATATCTTGAACATACAGAATGCTGACTTTTCCTACATTTCAACTGTTAAGCAGTATTCTATACTTAAAGACTACTACTATTTTTGTAAAAGGTAATCTATTATATTTGCCTACCTGATTTCTATTCTCAGATACCAAGACACAACTTCAGCAGTCGGTACAAGTCACGTTTCAGCCTGGTTTAAGTGTAACATACTGAAGCATCTATACCTGCTATTTTTTGGAAAAAAAATATTTTGGATTATTCTAACTTTGCATAAAATTGGCTGAAGAAATCAGTAATCTTTTTAATTAAAGCCACTTACATGTTAACTGCATTTTCTTATAGTAGAACATTATATTCTGCAATGTAAATTCAACATAAATGTTACCACAGGGGGCTTTTTTATATTTTTCAAGCATGAATTACAAATATGATGTTTTTGGGTCCTATTTATATCACTTGTCAGATTCCTTAAAACAAAATTTCTAGTCTGAGTGGCACATACTGTATTTGGTACAGTACTTGTGTTAACATGTGGGATAGACCTTTCTAATTAATGGTAGACTTTTTTTTTTAAACAGCATTTTTGTAACAAATCTGTCAAGAGTATTTTCATTGCTTTTGACTGTAAATTTATCACTGCATTTTTCAAGTTTTCAAGCATGCTGATGAGGTGGTATTTGACAGCGGAAGCCTGTCAGCAGCTCCTTTCAGAACCCATCCTGTCCAGTCAACCAAAGTTTGTTTGAATGCAGCCAAATCACATTATTTCTTGATGCTAAAGATTTATCAGGTAAAATATGTTTAAATCTTTGTCTAGCTGCTCATGACATGTGCTTTCAAGTTACAACTAAGGAAAAATGGTGATAAAAAAAAAAAGTTGTATTAACTGTAATACATGCAATGTGCTTTGAAAATGATGTTTTCAAAGCACATAATTTATTGATTGTAGGGATGGAATTAAGTATATATATGAATTATAACATGGGTTGATCTATTCAAAGGGGATTAAAATGCACTACCAGTAGAGGGAACTGTATTTTGAAGCAAGTTTGGGAATTCTCAGTTATGATCTGCTTGTGGTGTGTAGCTGTCTCAGTCTACTCAATGGACAGTGGCGTTCTCCTCAATGATGGGATATCTGGAATAGGTAGCTTTTGTTTCCAATCAGTGTTGTGTTTCTTAGGTTACAATTAATCATCAAATCTGCACTATTTTTACACTGCCGATGAGAAGAAAGTCTGGCGTCATGAGAGAGTGGGGTACAAACAGCTGTTCCATTTTGCAGTTACACAGTGAGCTAGCTGATTTTCTGTCTGTTCTATGGAGCTTGAACTTAAATTTTGTCCTGCCAAATCTGACTGCCACAGTGAGTAAACTACTGCTGGATATTGTGTATTAGAATAGTGGGCAATGAACTACTCTTGTAGAATTGTGGTAAGAATCTGGTGAGCCAAATCCAACCATTCAGTTGATTTTGGTACAGCTTGTTGCTGGAAGGTTCGTGCTAAAAGCCCTGCTTAGCCATGAGGCTACACAGGGATGTAACCATAAAGCCAAGAAACTTGCTTTGACAGCCCGGCTTTGAAATATCTAGGCTCCTTTTTTTCTTAATGTCAAGGGGCTGTTGCAGTCATTTAAAGGGCTGGTACCTTTGCTTCTGCAGCTGGGGTAGTTTGTGCCTTTCCAGCAACACTGTTACCAGAGAAGCTATTTGTCTATTTTTTGAACATCTGTCCAGGTTGTTTGGGAGAGCAAAGTAGGATGTTGCCCAGCGTGTTTCTTACTCAGTGATGCTGCCTGTGGTTTGGGACCACTGCTTTAGACACTCCCAGAGGCCTCTTCTCACCCCTTTCAGTTTGGAGTTATGACATGAATTGCTCTTTACAGAGACTAGGTTCTCTTGACCACTTGACAGGACAGAAAGCCCAGTGTTGTGCAAGTGATCTTGTTCTGCTCTTGCTCAGGCTCTGCCTGTAAGGCTGTTTCAGCTCCCCTGATTGTGAAAGCACCTTTTCTCAATAAAATCCAGCTTGATCCAGCGTGTGGTAGAAGTCAGGGCTCAGCTAGGTGGTTCCCTGGGGCAGCACTATCTAAAGACTGTCACAGTAGTAGCTCCTGACCATGTTATCTGTACACACCTCCCAGGGACCTTCTCCTCATCTGTTTACTTAAGCTGGTAAATTTATTGGACACAGAATTATGGCTACCCTTGAGGAGGAAGGAGGTGAGATCTGCAGAGAACAGTATAAAGGACTTGATAACTACTGTTCATTTTCACAGCAGCCTTAGCAGTACATCTGTTTGTTCTATCAAATGTTTTGGTGTGGCATAGATTTTTTTTTAAATGCCACAAGATAAATATTGTAAATTTAATATATGATAGGCAAAACTAGACAAATCTATATTTGACTAGCCATAGCTGACAGATGAGAATGAATATATCAAATATCTTGAGTGCCTTTCTAATGACTGAGAGCTTTAACTGAAGCACCTCATCTAGTGAGACATTTATGAAAATAATGTTAAAGGGTTAATTCCTTTGCAAAAATTTTATTTCAAGATCATGTCAGCTACTTTCCCCTCAAAAAGGTGCTAAGCCTAATATTGCATTTTAACCTTGGACTTTCACCCCATGATTAATGTGAATATTTATTTCAACATATCCCTCTTACTGGATTTTACTTTATCCAGTCTTTAGCTGTTTTAGAAAGATGTCACATTGTTTTTATGCTGTTGCTTTTCATTATGAATGTTTAATTATGAACAGTGACTTTTGTAGATTTCAAATATACAGTACACAGTTGAGTTTCAGAGGATTTAATTTCTCGGTGTAAAGAGTTTTGTAATGGTGCTTTGTACAGTATGTATTCTAATTTTTTTGCACATAGTTTCAGTTTCCCTAAACTGATTTATTTTTACCAAATTTGTGTTGTACTAAAGTCCAGAGCACACAACCTGTTTTTAAGTTCTTGTTCTACAACACTACACATCTGTATTAAACTTTTGGTGCGTTTAAACTGGCTGCATTGATGGAAGTAAAAGCTTTGCTTCTACAGCATAAGTATGCATTATACAGCTTAATGTAGCATGCTCCAATTGCTTCAGACTTTAAACTGCACCATATAGTTAACAGGTGCCATTTGTTGTACTTTACACTATATAGTAGGTTTCTGGCTCTACCACATCCTTAGGGCTTTGTCTGTAGTTGTAATTAGTTTATACAAGTGTAATTGCTCCTCCACAAACTGACAGTTCTTAGTTTATCATTTCCATTGTATTTATTACAGAGTGTTTTAGCATTGTATTTTCACTCAGCTGTTACATGAGTAACAACAACAAAAAAAAATCTGTATAAAATGGTTTTTAAGTACTTAATGTATGTACCCATGCAGAAGTTGAGCAATAAATTGTATGCTGTTTGCACTGTCACAGCATCAATGGTTTAAAAGGTTTTAGCTTTTTTATTTATGTTTACTTTAATGTGTAACATTGCAAGTTTTGAGTGACTCAGCTTTGTTACAGGACTGAACCTCTTGGTGTCTTTCTACCTGTTGTTACATACCGTAGGGGTTGTGTTAAGGTCCTGGTCAGACAGACAGGGTGTCTTTCTCATACAACTTTCCTTCTTGTGTTGTGGATGGTACAACCTTGGCCCACAGAAGACTCTACCTCTCTGTTAGCAAAGAGCTGTCTTCTCTCAAAACTCAGCAAACCTAACCCACCTTGCTTAGGGAAGAAAAAAAGAAAAAAAGGTAAGTAACATTACTGAATAACTGTTAAATGTAATAAACTTAGCCAGTCAGTGCTTGGAACTATCTTGTTTTACAGTAACTCCCTGGAAAGGGTTGTGAGAATGAGCACACATGTGTGCACGCACCACTCACTCCATGGGAAGTATAGCATGTTCCAACTTTTATCTGGTTTGTTTAATCTGTCATTTCCACCTGCTGTTCAGGCTTAAATCCACTACAATTGCTGCTGATTCCTTAAGAGGTACTACCTTATGGGAGGTTCGTACTGTTGTACATACAGAATATATGAGATTTATATCATTGCTTTGCATGCTACATCCTATTTTGTCATCATGTAGTTTGCTGTGTCTGTCAAGTATTCACCATTATGTATTTGCATCTCTTAGGTCTTATGGCTGTTGATTTCCTGCTGTGAAAATTTTCATCTGTTTACCCTAGTCTCCTAGGCTGACAGAAGTAGCACTAGTCTGCCTTACCCTCAAGGTTAGTTAAATAGGATATATTTTGATAAAGCTAAAGGCAAGTACAGTCTTACAGAATTGCTTTAGTCCAAATCATCTGACTCTAAAACAGAATATGGTAAATCAGTTGGTAAGTTATTGCCTGACTCTTTGTTATCTACCATTAGCATGACTTTCTTTTGAAATAGAGCAATTGGAGCACCACAGCACCTGTTTTTAGTGTGAGTTGAGTTTTATGTAGTATTGAAAACAGTATCCTAACTTACAGCTCCTCCCAACAGTAACTGCAAGAAAGTTGTTGAGATTTAAGTCATATACCCCACCCAATAATTAGGAATGCTGCCTACAGGCCCCTTCAGACTCTCAGTTTTTGCAGCTTATACTTGATTACTGACTCAATTAATTGTTTTTTTTCTTCCTTAAGCAATTGACATTACGTTAAAGCTTGTACTCAGCTGTTCAGTCTAGTTACTTCTGGTTAAATAATATAAATGTATATTTTTAACTAAAAATCAATAGAACCAGCTCAATATTCAACTGTTAAGAGAAATCTGATTACTTCACCAATACATATTGACTTTCTCCTTCCCTACATTTAAGCTCAACATTATCCCAGCCTTGCAAAGAAGGTAAAACTTTATTGGTTACCATAAAAGCAGCACTGCATAAAACTTGGACATGTCAAGATGACAGACAGGTACTTTACAGTATAGTAGCTACACATCAACCTCTAGCTAGAGCAGTTCTCAAAGATTCCCATCACCTTACCCAGAAAGGGAACTGAGTGATATTTACCACAGGTTTTAAAAGAAAGAGCTTTTGCTATACTGAAAGGAAGCCATCTGAAGTCTAGATCTCAATCTGTCTGCTTCCAGTTCTTGAAAAAAGGTGTCCTCATCATTTTGCATTATCATCGTCTGCAGTTGCTGGATCTCCTTTTCCATCTTTGATCTCAGGTCTCTCTTTGTTTTCCGCAGCATCTAAAGAAAACTTAGATTAGCCACAACACCTAAAGAGAAAAGAAACCATTTGTACAAGACTAAAAATACTTACTTGAGCTTGTGCTTTCTCTCTGGTTTGGATTTCCTGGCGTTCTTGAGATAAAGCTTCTGCTAGCATGGAAAACTAAGCATAAAAGTGTTTGAGTTGGAAACAATTAAAGAAAACAAAGGTTTCCAGTGAAGAAAAACAAACCACCCTTATCTGACTTGGATGCAGATTAAGTTTACCTGGTCTTTGTAATAGTTCTCCATAGACTCCAGTTCATTCTGATGCTCTCGCCTTTGCTCAGCACGTTTTTCTTGAGCATATGTTCTCAAGTCCTTTAGTCTTTGCTTCTGGATTTCTAAGCCTTCTTCAAAAAGATTCTTA